AAATATTTATCACGATATACATTTGAAAATTTGCGATAACGATATAACTGACGATATAATTGACACTAGACAAAATACTTTACAACTCCACAACTTTATTAGTGCAAAAAAACCCCATCAATGTATTTTCACTTAAACAAGCAGCAGCTTTTTAAGTGCATTAAAGTTATATAAAAATGTAACAGTGCAAATTCCTCGCTGACAGTTTAACCAAAAGGTATTTCCAGTGGAAATTGGTCGACATATCCTGATCATAACCATGTATAATATCCACAAAACTTAAAAAGAGGTTATATACACACAATATGGTAATATTATGTTGAAACACAGTACGTATCACTCCGCGAGGCTCCTGCCTACGATAGCCGTAATGCTCCGACAATCCATCAAGCGGTGCGGCTTCGTAGCTTAGCAAAGTCGTACTGAAACATTTGACAGATTTTTGAGCGCCGTGTAAGACATAAAATCGTTTCGAGGTCAGTAAACACAACCAGAATTCATACATAAGGCACACGGGATTATAAGGGGCTCTGCCGATTTTCAGAAATTAAAGGATTGATGTGTGGTGTGCCGTATTTTCCAAACAACACGGTAATAACGACGGCCCGCTAGCATGCTCTACCAAAAATAGTGCTTTGTTGTGTATCTGATGGATGAAAGCTAAACCAGTTCCACACCACTGAAGTTGCAGCATTTTAACAAACCAGTTCTGGTTCATCCGTTTCATTCAACGATCCACTTTCGCCCTTCTCATTCTGCGTTGCCGCCATGTGCGTATGTAAACAAAGGCACTGCGCATGCGTGTTTTACCCATATTCTATCGCGATATTTCATTTTCTTATCATTGCCCAACATTATACCGGTATTACTGTGAACGGTATGATATAGCCCAGCCCTAGTCTCCAGTAATCTCTGAGATTGGAAGTGACACAAGTGACATGTAAATCAGGAGCGCAAAAAACTGATAGAGATGTTCTGTCTCAGTGCACTTGTATTTTTTGCCTAAATTATGATTTTTGTTTATTTATTTTTTATTTATTTATTTGCAGCATTTTTGTTCGTGTTTGCACAAATTTGTATTGACTGTGTCAGTAGCAAAAAACGATAAGAAAAAGTCTGTTGGGCTATGAGGGCAAAGTGTCTCTATCTGGACTTCTGGTGTTCTGCTAAATTCTGGGACAATGTCAGCATCCTTCTCTGACTTCCAGGACTCTGAGCTGAGGTGTGGCTCTGCTGCCTGGGCCAGTGGAGATCTGGACCTGGTGGGTGTGTCACGCCTTCCCTCTCTCTGCAGACCTCCTAGTGCACTCTGTGTGGATGTGAGAGGCTCTTCTTCCTCCCCTCCTCTTCCTCTCTTTACCTCTTGTAGAACAAAAAGTGTATCTTCCACTTCATCGTCATACTCGTCACTCTCCGGTCTGGCTCCGAAACTACTTACAGCCTAAAAAAGGTTTCAATGCCTGATCCACATTAAGTAGCCGTCTCATTGTTGTGACACTTAAAACAACAACAAATTTTCAAAACTCACTATCAATATTGCTGTCAATCACTTGCCGCCATAGCTCCCACAATCTTTCCCTCAGCCTCAGCAACCAAATGTTGTAGATTGCCATATTTATTTATTTTTTTGATTGATTGATGTGGTTAATTTTTCACCAGTAAGAACGGGGATGCCATGTTGTGGGGTTTCGCTTGCAATGCGAGCGCTGTCTGGTGTTTATCGTCTCTTCTTGCAGTAAACGGGGAGTATGCGAATATTATTAATCATAACTTTTTCTTGGCCTATCAACACAATTTAAAAACTGGTACGTAGTTTGAAGTTTGCACTTCCAACACAAATTGAAACTGATCTCAGTGAGGCTCTGTCTCGCTGTCATCTTAAATCGCCATTATGACGTGCCGCCGCGTCTGTCAACCCCAGAGGGTTAAATAACACATTAAATTGTGTTATTTAACACATTAAATAACACAATTTTGGGGATGGGGTTAAAAATATCTGAGAGAGCAGCCTGTGCACTAGTTTTAGTTTCAGACAGTGAGGTACAAGCTCATGTGAGTCCCACCTGAACAAACAGCACTGATCTCTATCTGGGAAGGAAGCATCTACAATGTACAACAGCCAAAAAAGAAAAACCAAATAAATAAAAAACGCCCCTCCCTGAGTCTGGTTCTGTCTGAGGTTACTTCCTGTTTAAAGGAAGAATTTCCTTCCCGCTGCCGCCAAAGTGCTTGCTCATAGAAGGGTCTCTGATTGTTGGGGGTTTCCCTGTGTTATTGTGGGGTCTTTACAATACAGTATGAGGTGCTCTGAGCCGACTGTTGTTGCGATGGTGCTGTATATCAAATTGATTTCTGCGTAATCATTTGAGCAGTTAAAGTGTGGAGTGTTAACAACTTTAACCATGTGCATCATGACCATACTAACAAAAGTTTAAGCATGCAGTAGAAGTTGAAAGGTTGAGTATGGCCCAATAATACTGGTAAGCACAGGTCACATGGCGAGGTTTCTGTAAAGCCAAATGTCAGATTTTCAGTTGTAGAAACGATCAAAAGTTTCTTGTCCTCTGATGATGGAAAGAAGCTAGAGCAGGCGGTTTGAGAAGAAATTTGACCACGTCCTGAACGTTTCTGCTGTATCTTTTCCTGTGTGAAACCTATTATAAAGTTGGCATCAGCTGTGGTTCGAAGCTGCAAGGTTTTATGCACAGGATGTTTGTCTTTATTGGCCTGGTGCCATTGTTATTCATGTAAGTACAAAGTAACGCTGAATAGGTTTAAAATAAAACTATTTTTTTTATATTTTAATATTGAGGATTAAGTTTTCTCAGGCTCCTGAGAAAACTTAGTCTTTTTGCCTGTTTTATAGCCTGAACTACATTACTGATGTTATTTTCTCACAAAGGAAATCCTTTAGAGGAAACAAGTCACCTTACACTTGTTTACAAGCATTTATTGTGTCATTGTCAGTGTCATTCTGCACATGTAAGCTTAACTGCAGCTGTTAGCATATGCTCACTCCTGCTAGCAGTGATGTACAACAATGGTGTTTCCCCATCTGCAGGTGAAAATCCTGAAGGATAATGTCCAGTTAAGCTTAGTTCAATTATGCAGCAGAACAAATCCACAAGTGACTGATTCAAAAACACCAAATTGAAGGTTTTGGGGTGGCTCAGTGAAAGTATGGACATGATCCAGTCATGATGCTTTGGTCTTACCTTAAACAGGTCATGCTGAAAACCCCACCATTATGGCTGATTTAAAACAATTCTGCAAAGAAGAGTGGGCC